CACTAGTTCGAGCATGCATATTGAAAAAAGTCACCAAGTTGTTTGGCTTAAATCATGATTTATTATAATAATTAATGTGTTCTTGATATCTTATCTGGACAGGCCATGGTCCATTGTATACAACGGAAGGATGTGTAGTAGCTCCTCGACCGCACCGATTGGGTGCACTTTCTCGAATGGCCTTGTGTCTAGGGCTGGGCATGCCCGAGAATCGGAGCCTAGCTGTGATCAATGAACTCCATCCAAAAATAATATGATATGCAAATATGATTATCATAGAAAATCCACATAGATATGTCCTACTATATTAGAAACAAAAACCTCCCTTTCAAACACCTCATATGATTGCCACGTGGCATGTAGAAAATACTAAATTGCCCTTTTGTCTAACCATAATTAAATTACTAAATCTCCCTTTGCACTTTACGTGACACGTTTTTTTTTTAATTTTTTCTTTATGTTTCATTCAACTAGAGTGGTTTTTTAAATTGAATCAATTAGGTTTTTTTGTTACAAAGTGTCAATTTTGTTTTAAGCGTATACCCTTCGGATGAAGTTTATTACAAAGCTATTAAAAATCTCCAAAACTAAGTATTGATTTGGCACGACCAATGGAGAACGTCAATAAATCATCTTACTAATATTTAAATTTATTAGGATGCTTTTATATTTTATCTAACATTTACTTCAACACATATATTCGATTAAGCTATTTATATTTAATAAGTAACACTTATAAAACATTTCTAAAACATACATGGCGAAATACAATTTTTTTTTTTTTGCGAAATACAAATATTTCTATGATCACACTTATAAAACATTTCTAAATCCTTCAAACATTTCTAAAACATATCGCTCCAAATACAAAAATTTATTTTTTTCAAATATAAACATTTCTAAGATCTACAGATAGACTGGGCCAGGTGCGCGACCAGACATCACTAGTATATATAGCAGTGAGCCATACGAAAATCATTGAGCCCATATAAAGATTGGAATTAGCTTGGATTGATAAACTCCAACTATAAATTGTAGTCAATATGAAAGCAGAAGACTAAAGCCATGTGCTTAATAAGTCTGATTATTAGTCACCAAACGAGCTAACCAACATTAGGCTTTTGATCACAAATATTAATTCTGTTAGTGCATTAGAATCTAATTAGTGATCCCACACTTTCCCTCGATCTGAGAAATAAAAAACAAACACCATAATCTTCATGCTAGATAATAAAAGATAAGCACATCCGATTTCCCCTTTGATCAAATTCAATTAATTAAGTACTGGTTTCAATTGATCAGAATCGTAACTTATGCATGAGGTGTTTGCGCACCGGATAGAATTAAATTTAATAATTCGTGAAAGCTCAAGAGATGATGCAGTATGATATATCAAATCTGATTGGTGAGTAAAGGACCTTTTTTCGCATAATATGCAGTAAATTAGGGTTCCTTGGTCTGCCGATTGTTTCCAACGCGAGGTATGCAAAGTTTCATCAAGCCAATAATACGATAATTAATAATAATTGGAAACATAGAAGCTGGATGCTTTTGCTTGGGAAAACTTCTTTGGTGATAATGATCGTGCTTGTGCTTGATCAACAATGATTGATAAGAGACGTTGCACGCCGTTCATGCCTTTTCAAGAAAATTTGTTTTCGGGTCCCACTGGGCGTGCCACTTGACAAAGCATAAATCTGCACCGATGTCTTCAGTTAATTGAACCGGCGACGCGGTATTAAAACCTTAAAACCTGCAAAAGAGGATCTCGGGTCTTTCGAGGGTAGACATTTCGATGCTTAAGTCAGTAAAAGTAATTGTAATAGGAACACGAATTGTGGTGAGAGCATACCTTTGATGTGAGGGGTTGATCCCTATTTAAAGAGGTAGGTTATGAAACCCTATCTTGATAGGAAAGTAATTAGGAAATGACCTAGAAACTTGCGAATAGTCGATTGGATCGTTTCTCGAACTTGGGCCGCTCATGATTGAGGGCCACATATATTGGACTCGTCATTTTTTTTTTTTTTTGCTTTTGGGCCACTTCAAATTTCACTAGAAGTACAAAAAGTTTGTGATAGAAAAGCAGCAATGAACAAAAAAAAATTAAATGGTTTCTTTTAGGTACAAAATCTACATATATATAAGCGGGAACTCCCTTTTTGTTGCACGGTTAAAGGGGGGTTCCCGGTCGTTTTTGGTGACGTGGCCACGGGTGATTGGATTCATCATTTTTCTTTGGTCGATCCGTTTCTTTGATGTAGCGTTCTCTTTCGGTTGCCAGCTATGTACACCCAAAATTGTCCACGCAAAACTTCTTCTGCAGCTTTGAAGTTGAGTCCTGTGTGTGTGTTTTGCTTCGCCGGTGTTTTGCAAAATTGAAGGCAGCCAAAAGGTAGGTTAGCTCTTATCTCACGATTACCGACCGTACTTGCTCTGGATTTTGTTTGAACGTGGGTTGTTCTGACTTCAAGCTGTCCACTCAAAATTCTAAGTCCTGTTATACTTTGAAATTGATTATTGATAGTTACTTCTGACCCTTTTCATTTTTTTTTTCTCTGTTTTATCTGATTGAGGAAGGGATGTAGTTTACTTTTGCTGCGGAGAGAGAATCCGGGATTTATCAGAAAGATTAGCTTTTTTTATTGTGTTTCTTTTCCATCGTGTTCAATTACAGTTAGGTTTTAAACTCATTTTTATTCCTTCGATTTTGGGATTTCTTATTAAGTTCTTCAGTGTAAAAAGCTTTGTTTGGTTTTGAATTTGAAAAAAAAAAGAATAAAAAGCCACCGAATGTAGCTTGAATTGGTTTTGAATTGCATCAAATGTTGGGTAAAGCCTAAAAATTAGAGTCGATTTGGTTGCACGCAAGGTGCTTGATTATATGCTTAGTTTTTTATCTGGCTAAAAAATTTGGGAACAAATGGAACCTTGAATGCATGATTATTGTATTGGAGGTGTTCGCTTTATGTTATAAAGAATGCTCTGTTTATTGTATATGCAATGCTATATTTGAATTTGTAATTTTTTGTACAAAGGATAAAATGTTTCTACAATTGTTGAAGATTCTGTTACTCTCCTTTCTCTGTACTTTTATATACTCAATAAATCAATGGTTTTACCTTCATTCTAACCATGCAGTGTATCTTCTTTATTAACTACCACCGAGGCTGTTGTTGTCGAACATCCAAAGAATGAGAAGGAATCCTCCCCAGCAATGCCTCCAATGGGCTATTGAAGCCATTAAAAGGAGGTTGATTTTTTACTTTTTCTATTTTGTGCTGCCCGGCCATTGTAATTAGAGTCAGATTTAGCTTAGGAATGTATCCATGGGGATAGTGGCTTTATGAACGTTATCAGTGTAGATATATTTGCGCATCCCCATGATAAGCTATTCATTACAGTTTCCTCAATTTAAAACTCTTACCTCTTTGTTATATTCGAAAATGATGATTGAAGTTAAACATCATCTAAGGCAATGTAATTTTCGGAGACTAGAAGACCTCCACACGTTCAAGGCAAAGGCTTCAGCTTTCGGCTGTATTTGACAATTTTCCTCGATTTCTTTTTATTTATTTGTTTTTTTTAATATAAATTTGGGTTCCATCGAGAATGAATATGAATTTTTTTTTAGCCAATTTGCAGATATTTTTTCTCTATTGAATATGAATTTCTCTGCTACTGATTTTGAATTAGCATGCTCAATTTCATTCCTTTTTTATTGATGCATGTGATGTAGTGCCGAAATCATATACTCGGGTTTGATATTGATTATTGAAGAGTGTAGACATTAGCTCATACGTTTTTAGGCCTCGGTTTTAAAACCTTGGCGTTATTGCAGTCAATATTAGTTTTATACCATTGAATTGACTTGATTTGAGAAAAGAAACAAGGCCTGTGACCGAAAGGTTTTCATAGAGTCAAACAAATGGTGCAAATTTTGGTTAGCTTGTTGGTGCCAATCATTATCACGCATGAAAATGGGCAAAAACAGAGAGAATTTGGTGTTGGTCTTCGTGTTGGAATTTTGATACAAAAAAAAAAAGAAAAAAAAAAGAAAAGAAAAGGTTAATGCTGGAATCTCATTAGTTATCGACAGAAGGATAGTGTTTACTTCTTTTAAAGTGGGCAGATTCCTTATTTGATTCTGATGAAGAAATGGTGATATGTGTTTGATTTGGAATCGATTAAGATTGTTAATCCCTTTTCTTTTCCTAATGAATCCATATATAACATTAGAATAGGATGATAAGAAAAGCAAAAAATTTTGGCCTAATGGAACAAGCAGGCCGCTGGTGATTGTCGATATTTGTTTATTCAATTTTTTTATGACTTTGAATTCTCATATTCATGAAATCTATTTTGATGGGGAGAAGAATGGTTTCTGTTATTTTTCCAGTGAGTGTGATAAAGTTTTTCCTGGGTGGTTGCATAGTTTTTAGGCCAGTTTTGATTTGTCTAATATGTCATTTTCCCACTGAAACAAACAATACCCTGACTCCGTTGCCACCACAGCCGCACATCGTGCGGCTACCCTCCGCTAGTATAGTATTGTAATAGAAAGGAAAGAAATGTGAGGATTAATTTGTTGTTGAAACTGATGGAAGCTAAATTGTTTCTTTTATGTTTTTCTTCTGTTCCAAATAATTATCCTAATAATTGTACTAAAATAAAAAATTCAAACTGCAAAATTATTTTGGAACGGAAGGAATATAAAATATATTACTATAATACTGAGGAAGAAATGAAAGGATCAATTTGTTGTTGAAACTGATGGGTTCTAATCATATTTTACACAAGAAAGGAAGCAATGAATCTTTCCTAAACTGAAGTAAAGGAATGTGTTAAAAGATGTGGCATGAATTTAGATCAGTTGAAAGGATTTCGGTAATCCGAACTACTCTATTCTGCATATAAACATTTTAAGCTAACTGGACTGTATTTTGCTTCCAAGTTTCAAACCATAGAATTTGATGGCAATTTGCGAAGGTTCAAAGGTTCTTGAAAATTTTGCAACTAAATCGATTATGAGGTTAAAGGTTTCCGAGTAAATCATTCCTAAGAAAGCAAATAAAAAGCAAAATTTCAAAGATGTCAAAAATGAAACTAGCAACTCAAGGCACAAATTTAACAACAGCAAGCAAGCTTTTGGGACCAAAATGCCATTTTCTCAAAGAGGAAATGACGCCATAATAAGTTTTCCAGGTCATCTTGCAGTTCCAGCTATAGAGCGAAATAAACCATAATCTGATGAACATATCCAGATATCACCCAATATCAAGATTGAGAAAACCTACGAAAATATGACAATGTTTCGAAATGGGTGATAACCAAAACCTTCCGCACCAGCAAAAAGACTGCTCAACCTGCCATAAGTTGGATGTTTCCGGCAAAACCAGTGCCGCGTTAAAATATCTACTGTATTTCTAAGTGCCAACAGTTAGCCGTTAAACTGTATCAGAGCAGATGTTCTCATTGAGGACTACTGACTGGAGCTGGAGGGCTTGTATTTCTCCATCAGTTTAACCTGAGCAGCATCAAATTCCTTCTCAATCGCAAGCACCTCCTCATAGTGCCTCCCCTTCAAGTCCATTTCTTCCTTGAGATGTTTCTTTTGCAGCGCCTGCATTCTTTGCTCATGCAGATTGATCAACATGTCCCTCTGAGCAACAAAGTCTTCCATTTCCTTGTCCTGAAGCTTTATGGACTTGGCAATCTCCTCAGCCCTGCATGCAAACATTGAAAACCATCAAAGATCGGAAAAGAGATACTGCACGATCACCGCACCGCTGAATAGTTTAGAGATAAGGCAGTGAAGCAAAAATAGAATAAAATCAAATAAAGCTAATCACCTGGCACGAGGATCCTGCACTGAAGAAGGATTGGCAGGGGTCTGAGTGATTTTTTCCCACTGCTCCTGCTGGACCTTCTCAAAACTATCTTCTTGCGCATTTCTAGCATCAAAGATGGTTTTCAGCTGCTCTTTGAAGAATTGCTCCTGATAATCCATCTGAAAACAAGGGAATGGACTGATAAAGCAAACTGAAGCAATGAAAACAAATTAACCGCAGGATTTCACGAGAACAAAATGCAGTCAGAGATATCAAGTAACATTTATATAACACATGCACACATCTGAACTTGCTCAACCCAATTTGACAATTAACGACAGAAGACCATAAATTTTCATGCACATTCATGTAGTACACTTATTTTAACCATATACAAAACAAACATTACATAGTTCGCTGTGTTGAAGCATATCTTGCAGGAAGGAAAAGATACTAGCATCTTTAGTACTGATTTTCACTTCAGCCTTGAAATTTTCATTGCAGCCATAAGCACAGTTGCTATGTGATATCCTCATTCAGCAATCTAAAGCGGTATATTTAGAAGTTTGAACATATTTCTACTCTTTTTTAATTGCAAGGGAAGTTTATCATTTAGAGACATCAAGACGGCAATGATTAGATTTGCCATGATTTCTAGTAGTCAAAATTGTGGAAAACCAAATGAAAAGAGACATACAATGATGTTCAAAGCACTCCATCAGGAGGAAATTTAGAGCAGAAAATGAAAAAGGAAGTTTCAGAAGTAATAAGTTCATGAACGCATCATTTTTGTGATCTCTTAAGAATTTACTAGCATTCAAGTAATTTACAGAACTTGGGCTTCAATCTAGAACACCAAAGTTCACAAGATTAACCACAAACGGGATTGAAATTTTATGAATGTGATCGTCAACTGATCAAAATCATTCACAGAGAATAGATACAAAGACAAGAAAGACCACACGATGACGCAACATCTGCAATGCATGGATATGAATGTTGTAATTCAGATCTTGATATGAACGGTTAGCACAGAGAAGTACAAGCGCAACAGTTCGGATCTCGATCATGATAGTAATGGCTATAGATCAAGTGGGCCGGTAATGCTCTCATGTATATATATGAACGCTAGAAACAGATAAATGTCAAATGAGAATGACACTAAGGTCTGATCTAATTTGCAAGAATAATCACGTAATGGTTTAACTGACGGGGCATGGCATCAAAAACAGGAATAAAAAATAAAAATAAATAAATAAAAACAGGAATAATGCTACACTTTGCAATGAAATGCATCAACAGTTTCAATACTTGCCTCTTCTTTGTTTTGTTCATGATGCATTTTTGTTTTCAGTTTTATGAAGCGCCTCTCCTCTGCAGTTTCCCTCAGTTTCTCCTTATACAAGTCAACAGCATCCTGTAGCTTTCCTGAGCGGATCTGCTCGTTGGCCACTTTGTTTTTAAGCCATAACAGCTGCTGGTTATCTTCGCTCATTTGCTTCAATTGTTGCACTACATGTTGTTGATATGATACGAGTTCAAACTTGAGTTTTGACTTCCCTGCAAACAGAAGAGAGAGATTAGAGATGTAACATAGAAAGTGAGACTTGCACAACAATATTTAAATTAACGGAAAACCAGAAGTACCTTGACAGTGCTGATTAAAGCTATCAATGTCCCTCTTTTCTGCCATGTACCCATAGAGCTGGCGCTTTCCGCCAGGATAAAAAGGGGCCCTATTGCGCTCCCAAGCATCCCGATCTCTCGATTCATCCTCAAAATGCTTGCATAAACGCTCTGCTTCCAAATAGCCCACTGCTGATGACTCAAATATCAAAAGGCTTATGCCACGATGCCCTTGAGGACCATAGGAGTGTCGAGCCTTCAGAGCAGCAAAAGAGCTAAAGTAGTCAAGCAGCTCCTGATTTCCCATGCCTATCCACTGCAAAAAGCATTGGGAGAACAAAACATATTTAAATTAGACTAAACAAGAAGCAGCTCGGATGCTATAATATCAGCTGCATCAAGCATACAACTGATTTGTCAATTCTTTATGAAAGCTATGGGAAGTGTTAAGAAAGGGATTTCAGAACATCACAATGAACTTGAATTAGATCACCAAAGAAAAGTGTTTCGGTACTTTCAATAACTTTGTAAACAATTTCATTTCCTTGATAAACTTTAAAAGGATCAAAACATAAACATAGATAAAAAAAAAAAATTAAAAAAAAATTAAAAAAAAAATGAAGGCAAGCGCACCTTGTCATTCTCGTCTTTGTCAAGTCGTGTGTTCATTATCACCACCATGGGAGGCCACACAATATCTCTATCAGCCCTTCGATCAAGTCCCCTCCAATGGCCAAACGTTTCACCAGCAGGGACAGCAGCAGTTCCCCTCCTGCGGAGTTCCTCCTCCAGCAATTGAGCAAGCTCCCTATGGAGCTTCACCCTGGTATTTCCCTTTGTCTTTGCATGCGCAACAAGAGGCTGCAGGCCTCGGTACCAGTCAATGGCTCCAGGACCTCCATAGCAAGCAGGGCAATGCCATTGTCTTTCAGGGTCATTAATCTCTGCAGCAGTTAGACCATCCATGCAGTCAAAAAGTTCCTTCAGATGGCGAGTCTTCTTTCGAGTTTCATGACTCTTAACACTAGAGTCTGAATCAAATTCATCACTAAAGAGGTCATCATCAAATTCATAGTCATCAACATCTGAATCATCAGACTCATCAACTTCACCAACCTCTTTTACACTCTCCTTGTAAATTGGCGCATTGGCAGTTGATGTCACCTGACTATTAGCAGAACCTGGTCCAGATTGTTGAGCAGCTCCAGGCCTAGAAGCCCAGTTCCAGCCATGCTTCAAAGGAGGAGCAGCAGCTGCATGCTGATTACCATGAGAAGGTGGATTTAATGACTGGGGTAAACCTAATGGCTGGGGTAAACCTCTCCCCGCTGGCCTTCCAGAATGAGGTCCCAGGGAAGGCCAATTGGTGCCAGAACCCCCCCTTCCTGATCCAGGGTTACCCCATGCCCGAGAACTAGAACTTTGTTGAGGCCACTGCTTAACAGCACCGCTTGCACCTTTGTTTTTGTTTTTTTTACCATACACCTCCCAGCCAGCATCTTCACCGGTAGTAAAGCTAATATCTGAAACATCCTGCGTCAACTGACTAACGTCGGTGCTAGAGGTTCCAGATACCCCTTTTCCCTTGGAGAATGAATCAGAACCAACACTTGAAGTTCCACGTAAACTCATCTTTTCACAGAGATGCTGCACAGTAACGAAAACGATAAGAGGCAGAGGAACTAGGAAAAGAAAAGCTTCAAAAGCAGTAGCACAGAACTAATAGTATCAGGCAGTTGATTTGGAGTAGCAGGCTATAGATAAAACATCATCGCAAAGAAGCTTGGAAGAACTCCTCGAATGCATCACCAACAAATGACAAACACAGCACGACATACTACAATGTATTATTTATTTTAGGCATTCGTGTAAGGGTCAGCAATTTTCATCAGTCTCACAAAATTGTTACCCTTTACATCACCTCCTGAAAGGGTGCAAGTCCGAAGATGAAAAGTGCGACATCAAATATAAAAGGAACAGTAGCGCCTCTCCTAAAGAAAATCATTGGATTCCAACAGTATAACATAGGTCAAGGAACTTGCAGGGATTTACATTCAGCATGATTTAAACAATCATCAAATGATTCTCTTACAGATCAGAACAAGTTAAGGCAGGCCTTGTGGACAGCAACACAGTGTTTAAGATTATATTCATATTCTAACAGCAACATAACGTACAGCAGAAAGTTCTAGCATATACATCTCTCCAATACTCCTAATCAAATAAGATAGCAAACTAATTAAAAACATTAAAGACAACACAGAAACTTTCAACAATTCAAACAGAGACAGAAAACACAAAAACGTCCCCCAAATACCACCATCACAAAACATCAGCACAAATTACAGACATTTTGTTTTCACAGGAGCAAAAATGTCAGCCACTACCCAAATGCATGCCAAATTTAGAATCACTTCCAACTAGGGTTTCACCATACAATTCCCCTCAAACAAATGAAACAGAAACACACGCACAGAGATTACTGTAAGTTTCCTTCCTCACATGTTCATACGAAACTGAATTCAAACGTTCAAGGGTTTAAGTACTTTCCAGCAGGCAAACCCGATAAAAGTTCGCCCAAAAATACTAAAATCGGGAAAAAGAAAAGTATAAAGAAGCTAAAAGAACGAAGTGACCATAAGGTAAGCACGAGAATTTCAAGCAAATAAAAAAAAGTTACTCTCACACCAACTCAGAGACAAACCGGTCACCGAAACCCCCAAAAAGCCACAAACTAGGGAAAAAAGAGAGAAACCCGGAATCAAAACAAAGAGAAGGTAACCGATCCTTTCACGTTCATCGAATCATTTTCAATTCCAACATAAATACCAGAGCAGAAAAATAATTTTAGGTGCTATTAGTACCTCAAAGGCAGAGGGAAGAGAAAAAGAAATGCCGTGAAGAGGAAAAACAGAGTAGCCCGGAGAAGAAACCGACGATCGGCGGCGACCAAAGGATCGGTCGCCGATGATTGGTAAAGAGTATGTGAGTGAGTGAGTGATGAAAGTGTGGGCGGTGTGTGTAAAAATGGAGGAAGCTTTTTTTTTGGTGTGTGCAGAGGAATTTACTCAGAAATTCATTTCCCAGTAAAAATTGAGTAGTCACACACTGTGACTTGTGCTTGACTGGCCGTTGCGAATTTATTGTACTGACCGGACTTCAAAACATTTTATTCAATTCGCTTTTTTACCAACAACAACGAAAATTACCGCCCTCTTCCACCTATAAAATAAAAACAGTAAAAAAAACAAGAATCCAGTCAAGCTTCAGTTGACTTGTGAGTAAAAAATATCTTCTCTTCTCGACAAATATCCTTCTTTTCTTGATATACTAATTACATTTATGTGTGTTTAATTTACTATTTGTGCAATACATTGTATTTGGTGTGTGTAATATTATAATACTATGATAATCGAAAATCATAATGTCTTATTTCCTTTTGTACCATGGTTTATATCTGTTTATATTGAACCACATATATGTGTATTAGAAAGAGATTATAAACTCTTAAATGGAAATATGCTAAAAGCAATATTTCCTCCACAACAACCTTTTAGAATAGAAAAGGAAAATAATGTTATAAGTTTTTCTGCATATTTTGAAGATGAGACATTGGTTATAACTGTAAAACAGATGAATAAAATAATAGAACATAATAATTACAAGATAGGTTATTTGAATGTTTATTTGAATATTTTAGGAGAACAAATTTTATCTTTACAAGATAGGTTAGATAAATTAATTCATTTAATAGAAAATAATAGAGACGCTAGTCCTAGTAATACTAAAAAAGATGTTGTTGCAGCACCAACTCTTCAACCACCACCTGAAATAAAATCTTTAAAGATTTTAATTTAAAATCTTTGTCAGAATTAGAAAAATTATCAGATACTAAATTTAAAGATTTAAAGATTAATACTCTGAAAGAAGAATTCTCAGAAAAATTAGAAGAAGATAAGGATTATAAAACAATAATAAATGATGAGATTAATAAATTAAATAAGTATGCTGATAAACCCACTCAGAGGTTGTATTATTATAATAGACCTTCTCCTACAGATATTTTACATGAAGAGCAGGAATATATACTAAATAATAGTTACAGTGGGAAGTGTATTTATGAATGGAATATAGATGGATATACCGAAAAACAAATTTATAATTTGACCCATAGAATGTTAATGTATAGTACTATTTGTAAAACAAATGGAAATAATGATGTAGGAATTGCAAAATTGATAGTTGCAGGATTTACTGGCTAATTAAAAGGCTGGTGGGACCATTATTTGTCTCTACAAAATAAAGAAGAAATTTATAGAACGGTTAAACAAGAAGGATCTCAGATTATAGAAACTGCAGTTTATATATTGATTGTTACTATATTAGAATATTTTACAGGAAGAATTTCAGATAATAGTGAAAATATTCGTACTTTATTACAAAATTTAAGATGTAAAACATTATCTGATTTTAGATGGTATAGAGATGCTTTTCTTAATAGAGTTATGGAATTACATGATAGTAATAGTGTTCATTGGAAATCTAAATTTATAGATGGATTACAAAGTTTATTTGCAGAAAGAGTTAGGAGAATCTTAAGAAAAGATAGAATAAATATTCCTTATGAAGATTATACTTATGGAAAATTAATAGGAACTTGCATTCAGGAAGAATTAGCCTTGTGTAATGAAATAAAATTAAATCAATAAATTAAAAGAAAAAGATTGACTGAAAGAAAACAATTAGGTCAGTTTTGTAGTCAATTTGGTATGGAAATTCCATCAGAAAAAAGAATGATAAAATTTTTTTAAAAAGATGACAAGTATTATAAGAAAAAGAAGAGAAAATATTCTCAAGAAAAAATAAATAAAAGAGCAATAAGGGAAATGAAAAGACTTGAGAATAAGAAAGATAGAGCTAATATAATTTGTTATAAATGTAAACAGCCAGGACATTTTGCAAATAGATGTAAAATTAAGAAAAGAATAAATAGTTTAGATATTAGCCAGGAAATCAAAAATGAATTAATCAATTTGTTAAGTTCAGAATCTGAATCAGAAAGCTCAGATGAGGCTGAAATAGATCAGTTAAGTTATACATCAGAAAGTTCAGAAGATGAAACTGAGTGTTGTGATCCTTGAAAGGGAACTAAGAGTTGCATAAAAGGAATAAATAATGAAAATAAAGAATTTTATAAAATTATATCTCAATTCAAAGAATCAGACATTAGTGTTTTACCTAGTAATAATATTCTGGAATTCTTGAGATCAATAAAAGATCAAGATTTAAGATCAAAGATAATTGAACAAGTTAGGGATATTCCAAATAATAGTAATGATGAATCATTAGATCTAGATAATAATCCATACACAATGGATAAAGTATATAAAATGCTCAAAGAGAAAACTAATAGGATAGAAAAAGCTCCTACCACGGTAAGTGATTTAGGAGAAGAGATTAGTAACCTTAAAGAAGAAATAAAAATTCTGAAAAAGCTTAATAAGAGTTTAGATGATAGAGTTTCTACTTTAGAAAATAAGAAACAAGTAGATCTTATAAAAATATATTAATAAGTGAAACGGGAAATGAGAACTTTCTAGGATCTTTAGATTTAATCGCTTCCTTTAAATTTCATATTATTATTAAATTATTAATAGATCATGATTATCAGATAGAATTAATAGCCCTAATTGATAGTGGTGCGGATGTTAGTGTTATACAGGAGGGAATAATTCCCACTAAATATTTTGAAAAAACTACTCATGTGGTAAGATATGCTGGTGGAAAAGCATTAGACATAAATTATAAATTGTCTAAAGGATATATTTTTAATAATCAAGTTTGTATTCCTGAAAGTTTTTTAATAACTAAAATATAACTAGCCAAGTTATACTTGGAACTCCTTTTATAAAGAGGATTTTCCCTATCACTCATATTAATACTGATAGTATCACAGGTACATATGATAAAAAAAACTTGTATCTTTTAAATTTATAACTGAACCTAATACGAGATTCATAATGAACTTAGAGATCTTATTTTTAGAAAAAATAATCAGATTAATTTCTTAAAATTTGAAATTAATATATTCTCCATAAAAGAGGATTTAAAAAATCCTAAATTACAGGAAAAGATTAAAAGAGTATATAATAATATTTCTACTGAAATATGTAATGAACATCCTAATGCTTTTTGGGATAGGAAAAAGCATGTAATTAGTCTTCCATATGAAGATGATTTTGATGAGAAACAATGATTAAGACAAAGGCAAGACCTTGCCAAATGAATTCTGAATATTTGGAATTATGTAAAAAAGAAATGAATATGTTATTAGAAAAAGGATTAATTAAAAAGTCAAATTCTCCATGGTTATGTACTGGGTTTTATGTCAACAAACATAGTGAAATAGAAAGAGGAAGACCAAGGTTAGTAATAAATTATAAACCTCTTAATAAAGTATTAAAATGGATTAGACATCCAATCCCAAATAAAAAAGATTTATTAGATAGATTATATGATGCATTAATATTTTCTAAGTTTGATTTAAAATCTGGGTATTGGCAAATTCAAATTGATGAGTCAGATCAATATAAAACAGCTTTTAATGTTCCAGTTGGACACTTTGAATGGAAAGTGATGCCATTGGATTAAATAATGCACCTTCTGAATTTCAAAAAATCATGAATGATATTTTTATTCCTTATAGTGAATTTATCATTGTATATATTGATGATATATTAATATTTTCTAAGGATATACAATCACATTTTGATCATTTAAATATATTTCAGAAATTAATAAAATAGAATGGATTTGTTATATCTCAATAAAAAATATCGTTATTTCAAACAAATGTTAGATTTTTAGGACATAATATTGAGAAAGGAAAAATAATTCCTATTAACAGAAGTATTGAGTTTGCTTCTAAATTCCCAAATGAAATTTTAGAAAAAACTCAATTGCAAAGATTTTTAGGAAGTTTGAATTATATTCTACCATATTATAAAAATTTAGCATATGATACTGCTATTTTATATGATAGATTAAAAAAGAATCCAAAGTCTTAGACAGAGGAGCATACTAAGGCTGTGCAAAAGATAAAAAACAAAGTAAAAATACTACCATGTCTAGTTTTGGCAAATCCCAAATGGGAAAAGATAGTAGAAACTGATGCTTCGGATATAGGATATGGTGGAATACTCAAACAAGTATGTCCGGATGATGAAAAAGAACAATTAGTAAGATATTATTCAGGAAAATGGACCCAAAGTCAAAAGAATTATGCTACAGTTGCTAAAGAAATTCTTGCAATAGTTAAATGTATTTTAAAATTTCAAGATGATTTATATAATCAGAAGTTTACGATTAAGACAGATTGTCAATCAGCAAAATATATGTTCAATAAGGATTTTAAACATGATGTTTCCAAGCAAATGTTTGCTAGATGGCATGCTAATTTAGCCCCTTTTGATTTTGATATTGTATACAAGAAAGGAAAAGATAATCATCTTCCTGATTTTTCATCACGTGAATATTTGCAGGATGGAGTGGAATAATTATTGATACGTTACACCTCGAACTACACTTCATCATACCTATAATAATATTATAACCGAGTATAATTTGTTAAAAGCAGATTATTATTATGAGAGCAATCGGCTAAATCATTATATGAGAGTACGAAGAATGCTAAATGAATGCGAGCTGGAATTTTGCCACCAATGGAATAATATAAATGATCTAGAATATGTTAATGATATGATCATTATGCTCTCTGAGAGATTAGTTCAGACAACAAAATTTCTACAACATTATGAATTACAACTATCAGTTATAACTTTATAAATTTTGCAGGGATTATGTATCCACCTGATCGTGGACGAAGCGGCCCTTATAGAGGTCGTGGAGGACGAGGAATAAATATTGTTATACAACATGGAAATAAGAAGCTTATAGCTACTGATTTTTCAAAATCCCAAGAGGAATCCTCTTCATCAAATGCTAAATTAGTTCAAATAATGGACTTTATTCAGCATGACTCTGCATTATATAAGCAGATTATGGATCAAATCCAAGAAAAACAAGGTGATACCTTTGCTGCCA